AGTTCTCTACCATCTTATATCGTTTTCAGTCATGCCATTCAAAATGAAGCGTACTTCTGAATAGTCACTCTCTATAAAGCTAATAGTCTTCATTTCAATTCTTGAGTCACGACAGGCAAAAATGTTGAACTAGATGTCAAAATCAGTCATTTTTACGCATTTCTTCATCGTTATATCATGAGGTAAACGAGTACAAGACCCTCAATTTGTGTTTCACATTCTTTACAGCATGTGCTCTTTGCCATGCTAATTTGTTTACATTGTTGCGAAAAAGTACAAACATATTGTACATTGGAACTGAATGTAAACAATCCTGATATTCCAGTTCAAATCCGTTTGCCAGCTGTGGGTTCATGGGATTTCGCTCGTTGTGACATCACTGGTTTCAACTAAAGTTTCACACACTCCTCCTCACCGGTGAAAGCTGAGGTTCACCTGGCAGTAACAGTTTAATTATGGAAACATTTTCAAGGAGGACTGACGAAGGAATGCATAAATCTGACACATTTTGACAACCAGCTGAATGTTTTTGTTTGTTACGACTTGAGCAATGGGCTGAAGACAGTTGGTTGACTATTCAGCATTCAGAAGTGTAGTTCCTTTCCACTTTTCAGTGAAAATTATATAAAGCAGTAGATAATTACATGGTAGCAATTGATTCATGTCCAAAAGGATTTGCAGTCTGTTGGAAGGAATAAGAACTGACGGTTGAACTAAAAGTTATGACAATCTTAATTGATCAGTGAAATGCACCAATGCAATGGAGAAAAATATAACTACGCATTTTAAAGGATTGTGGAAGTGATGTTTAGAAATGTCTTGAGCATTTTCAGGTCGTGTTACCAAGATCAAACCAAGACCTCGCGAGAGTGAACTGTCATAATGAAAACATGACATGACATTTCACTATCTCGTTCATAAACAATGACTTCAGGACTTTCCTGACACCGACACTATCATTGAAATAAATGCTTGCTTTTGAGGAATGAACAATTCACTTTGACCAAGTGACTCACATTGGAGGTTCTTAACTGGGTTTTGCAGTTTAATTGTTTTGAGAAAATGCACAAGCAGTTGTGGAAATGTTGAGAGAAATGCACCAACAAAAATTATTTAAAAAAAAATACTATCATTATTATACTTAGCATTACATCTTTACTACTTTTACATTTGAAATATTCTGAAAATCAACTTCTTTATTTCTATTTTACCTTTTGCATGTTTGTTAATTAATTCAGGAAAACATTTAACAAAATTTCAAAATCTAAACAAGAAAATAAATAAATACTATAAATGGATAAGTATCAAATTACTACTAATAATACTAAAACAATAATAATAAATACAATTATTTCTAATGTTTTAAGAGTCAAATTCAAACTTTTAAAATTGTACACATAATAAATCGTTATGATAGGATTAAGTGGCTGATAAAATTAGATTTCACAGAAGATGTCAGAAAGTTACACACCAGAAACAAGATTGCAATAATTGTGGATGTTTTATTTGTTCTCTCTAGCACCACCTTGAGGACAGATCAGTACCTTGTTTGGCAGACACTCTTGAATTGAGGCTATGACGAAAAGGAAAAGTTATGTTGTTCTTTTAAGGTCTTCCAGTTAGATGGCACAGATGAGTTACAATTTACTTAGTTACTAGTTATCAGGTAACTATCGACCCAACCTTTGCTTCAGGAGGAAATGGGACGGTGTTCTCCGGGATCTTTTAAAGAAAACACTTCTTTTTCCCACAAGAACATAAAATATAAACTTAAGAAGTATTCCCAAATTCAACAACAAAAGAAACGGACCAGGAATAGTTATAAAAATAACCATGATGTTAATATGGTTGCAGTGATGCAGTTCAATTATTTACTACAGCTAATTTGATGATCTAATGAAAACTCCAGACGCTTATCAGTCAGATAAGACCAAAAAAAAACTTTTTTTAATGATAAAGCAATTATTGACGACCTTCTTCTTGTAGAGTCAAGAAAAGATCATCACAGACTGCTGCGATCATCTATATTTCTTAAATACAAACAGATCAAATTCATATATATAGAAATAAATAATCAAATCAGTTCAAACTCGCTACAGTCATCTATCAGGAAGCTCAAGCTCCTCTCTGGTTTCAAACAGAGGGAAGCTTTATAGAGATTTTAATTTCCTGCAGGACTTTGCACCTGGCCACCCTGCTAAAAGTATGAACACATGATCATTTAATGACCATGATGTAATTCACGCAAAAGGAGCCCCAACCGAGTGATTACTGCACAGTCTGTACAGATAAGATATCTTTATTCCCGTTATTGACCAGGTGCAGGTTGGTTCAGGTGAATTACATCCCAAATAAAATTACCGCATACACACACAAAAAAAAAACTGAATTTGAAAAACACAAAAATATTTCAGTATTGCACATCTTGTGTCATTTCTTCCAGATAAAATATATTTTTTTTAAAACAAGTGGTGTGGGGTTTTAACTTTTCCCTTCCTGAGGGGAGGAGCTGAAACGGAGCGCTGCGTTTTAAAAAAAAAAATATTCAGGGCTTTTCTAACACAACAGGAACTCTTCCAGGGAGCCGATTGGTTTCTCTGCAGACCCGATAAGCCTCTGGAGGGTTTTCCTGAGCAGCCGCTGAACTATGCACACATTACATTAGGTCAATATGCTCTCGATGGAGCAGCGGTGGGGAGTTGAGAGCAACTTTAGAGCAAAATATTCATGAGAATCCTCTGGAAATAAAGCCTCTGCTTCATGTTCTTCCTCAGCTGCTTGGTATTTGCCCCCCAGATAAGGTCATCACCATGCAGCACATGAGTTGTCAACAAGCTGACATTTCTGTAATAATATCCTGCTTTAGCTGCTTCTGGTGGAAAAAGTGATACTTTATTGCCAAGGGCATGCTTTAGAGCAACTGTCTGAAATTAAAAAAAGTTAGAGCAAAAACCCTTCCAGCCCCAAAACATCCAGAAAAATAAGAGTTCAACCATCCAATTCCTCAAAAAAAAAAAAAAAAAAAAAAAGATAAACAAAACTCTACAAAATAAACTGGGACTAACAATAACAGAACTACTCAAAAACATGTTGCCACCGTGTGTCACAATGTGACTCTATGTATCTATTTTAATCAATACAAACCCACAAAACAGCTTTGTCAGTTTTCATGGCTCCATGAACACGATTACAATTCAAAATGCCTCCATATCTTTTCTGCTGGCACCACCCTCAGGACAGCATTTGCAGTTTCACTCTTATTTTCATTGGTAACGCCGTGACCAGCGCCACATTTATGTTTGTCTTTACGCCACCACCTTTGGCGGCTGTGACGACGAGCCGTACAAGAAGGGATCTGTTCAACCGAAGCCGCCACAGATTTGAAAGATTTCACCGTGACGGACAGCGCGACAGGCGGACCTTGTGTGATTTTCATTACGCATCGGTCGATGCATAAAACCAGTTGGAGATTTGCGTAAAGGAGACCTCGCCTCTCACGCTCGTGCTCTCCCTCCAGTCGCCCTATAAATAAATGGTGCCAAACTGGTATAAGCAAAGACATTGCTGCTGCAGCGGTTAATGAAGCACCGAGTTTTACATTTCCCTCAGTGGGTGTAAGCGTGCGCGTCCGGGTCGACGCGCCCCCTTTTAACTATTCTTGCACTGGAGACATTTTCCACAGATCATTAGCTGCAGCACGTCTCAGCTTCTTTTGGATGCAAAGTTAATTAAACTCGTGTCTGGACTGAGACTCGGGCTCTTTATTTTCCTGGTAACCTGGTGTCTGAAAGGCAGTCACCTTTGTTATTTGCCATTTTCCCTTGTTGCATACACTCCCACCTATTCTGTCTGCATGGAAAATACAGTAGAATAACAAGCAGAGCTCTAACTGTGGGCTTCAGCTTCAGTATTTGAATTTAACCAGGTTGGAAATAAAAATTCCTTTACAAATTACCTCTGTTAAAAAAAACAAAAAAAAAAAACAACAACAAAAAAAACACTAGAGCTTTTTCATTAAACTGCACTTCTCCTTTCAATCAGTCATGATTATTTGATTATTTCCTGGAAATGTACAACTTGCCGGAAAAAACCCCTCAACTTTCCAAGGTATAGAAACAGCAAAATTTAACTTTTTCCACAAGGTTCTTTGGTTGGGACAAACCAATTGTAGAGTGGAAACTAAAACTCCCTTCCCAGAACATTATTTTACATGATTTCAAAACTGGGTTATCCAATTAACTGAAACTCAAAGGCATTTAGTTGCACTACTTTTCATTTAGGGGTATCAAAGCAAATGAGGCAGAATATTAATGCTCTATCTCAAAGGTTTGCAACCTTTAAAATCAAGAGACATTTTGCCTTCAGTCCAGCTAAATAAAATTTTAGAGCTGCAAAAAACAAACTGCCTATAATTTTTGTTAAATATTTACTATAGAAAATGTGTTTTCACTTTTAAAGAATCATAATTTTATTTCCATTTTTAGGTTTAAAAAGAAACTTTCGCAATAAAGGGGTGGATACATTTTCTTTTTTGCAATTTTGATATTTTTAGAAAATGATAAGAATGCTGTATTTCCTTTAAAGTTCCCATATTTATACCATCGTTTCCAACCTAATGATAAAATTATTCCATCAAAAGAAACATGAAAAGCCCTTGTGTTTGTTACATAATTATTTAAATATAGGAGTTATTTCCGTATTACTTTTTTTGCTAATGTTATTACCTGGAAATTAGGCAACATATTTCATCTCACTCTGTTACAAATCAAATAAAATTTAAAAGCGTTAACATATATAGTGTTAAAACCTGTCCTGACTGAACAGGCCAGGGGTCGGGATCCATGCTGTCCTAAAAAAAAAACAAAAAAAAAACCTCATTTAGTTCACTGCAACGTAGCAGGAAACACCCACTTATCTGAACTGCTCCTGACATAACAATAGCTGTCCTGTTCTGATGTTACTGAGAAGTAAGACCTGCCAACGGGAACAGCTCTGCAGAAATGAGCCGCACAGGTAAGGGACCTTTCATATTAACAGTTTATCATCCAATTACAGCACGTATTAAGTAATGAAGGAGATTAACGTTGTGATGTGCGCGAGTCTTGATCGCAAATGACGGGTTGGTGAGGGATAATTGGGGTTTCTGCTGCTCAAGTACCAAGGGAAACTGTTGGGCATTCCCACAGAGAAACTGCTCATCATCTACGAGACGGAGGCGAAGCAGTGGGCCACCTACCTCCAGTCAGCCTTCACCGGGCAAATCCCTGAAGATGGCATCTGCTGCTACGACGTCAACACGCTGTCCAGAAAAGACGACTTTGTCGAGTTGTCTCGCTACGCCTGCAAGCTGCTGATCCTTTCCAAGGGGATGCTGGAAGGTCTTCACCGGAAGAGGGGCTTCTTCCTGTCCAGGGTGCTGAGTCCTGCAGCCTGTGTGGCGGTTCTGCTGTGTGGCGTGGACAGTCTGACCCCGCTGCTGGACCAGGTGCCCATCAACGCTGACGAGTGCCTGCAGATCTCCTGTGAGCAAGACGCTCCAGAGTATGTGTGCAACGTGATGGATATTATACGAAAAGGTACAATCCAAAAAAAAATCACTCACTTTTACTCCAAGTTGGTTAACAAAACATAGGTTGTTTTTTTTTTTTTTAGATTAATCGTAATAAGGAAGATTTAGTATCTCTAGAAATTGACGATAGAAAACACCTGACATTTTCTGCTTCAACTCAATGCTCACGTTAAATCAGTTTAGGTTGACTTTTGAATAGCATTTAGAAGTTCATCAGTCATGTCCAAAGCAAACAACAATTGCAACAATACATAAAAGAACCAGAAAACAGATTACAATCTACTATGTTGTAAAAGTTTCTGAAACAAAATGAACAATGCAGGTAAAACTAAATTTCTCCACCTGTGTTTTGATAGAGAGGCTAGATTTCATTTACAACAGAAAAGTATAGTTTGCATGATTACAGATCTTTAAAATAAAGGCAAATAGGTTTTTAAAATATTCTCGATTTGAGGATCTAATAACTGCATTCTATATTATTTGAGGTTTAAAAATATACATTTGAGGCTAATAAATGCTATTTTACAGGGGGGGGGGTAAAAATTTTACCTTCACGATTATTTCAATTTTAGATCACAGGTTCAGATTGTATTGCTTTTCATTTCGGGCATGAAGTAAAAGTGTTAAAACGCTTTGAGTGCCGCTTAGTGTTTTATTTGGATGTAAACCAAATAACATCAGATGTAAATTAACAGGAGGGCATGTGTGCTTGTCGATTACCCGTTTTTCATTTGCAACACAGGCAACTCAAGCCACAGTAAAATATTTGAAACTTGCTGTCCTCTGAAAAATTATTCAGAATTTTCCTGAAAATTAGGTGATTTTAGGGGAAAAGACTGTATCTGTTCTCATCTGCTCCATCAATCTCTCCACCCTCAATCGTCCAAAGTACAATTTGTCTAAAATCCAAACACAGAGGAGTGGGTTTGTGTTTAAACAGGGTGTGTTAGGAGGAACATTTGATGCAAATACGGCTTTCACTGATTACTCATTGCAAGATATCCAAATTCAATAGCACTTTACCTCACTCCACTGCAGTGATACAGTGAAGTGTTTCAGACTGGGCGCCCACGAACAGTTATATTTTAACTCGGGAGTAGTTCTGCTTTTGACACAGATGGATGTTGTTTTTTAAATACTGTACCTAATGTAACTGGAGAGGACATCTGTTCAGTTTATGTCTAAAAACCTTGTAAAAAAAAGTGACTATTGAAGCAATTAACTTCCTTGTTTTGTGAGCAAAGCTAATAGCAGAATGCTAACAGGATCCAGTCTGAACTAAAAGTCATTTTCTAATAAATCTCTTAAAATCTGTTTTTTGTTTTTCTTCTTCTTGGTGTAAAGTTTCTGACGAGCTGCAGTCAAGTCCAGTTATGCTAATAGCTATAGGCTACTATCAAAGCGCTAACCATCCACACATGTGACAACTATTAGGCTAATAGTGAGATACAGTAGTACAGTATTTAATGCATCCAAGCACTAGAGGAAGATGTTGGTAGATAAATACTGGACAGAATTAAATATGTCATTGCTTTACCAAGATATAAAACACTGTAAGGCAAATAATTACCGTATTTTCCGGATTATAGAGCACACCTCACTATAAGCTGCAGCCGCAAAGATTTAATTTAAAAACTGGAAACGAACATGTATAAGCTGCAACGGGCTACAAGCCGCTGGTATCTCCGCCGCTCTCGGTTTTTCAGAACGCAGCCCTGCATCACAAAACGCCGAATTGAAAACATTTCTCCGTGCCTGCTGCTAGCATGTGCTTGCTCTAAATGAAAATTAGCACTTTCTTCTTTGATTTCCAATTCTGACTTCTAATGATTCACTTCCTGCAAAAAAGCCCCCTGGTGGTTGACGAAAAATCCACAGAAAAGTCGCACTGGGCTATAAGCCGCATGGTTCAAAGTGTGGGTTAACAGTAGCGGCTTATTGTCTGAAAAATACTGTACCTAATTTAAACTAATTTGACTATGTTTTACGTGCTTGCTTTCCTCTTTCAGACTGCCCCAGAGCAGATGTGGTTACAGTGTAGTAGCTTGCCACAATCAGTATGTGAATGTGTGAAAGATTGAATGTAGTGTGAAGCACTTTGGTGTCCTCGGGATTAAATACAGGCCATGTACCATATTATATTTGAACATCAGGGCTTGTTATAAATCCGCTACTTTCCAATTTCAAAATGTTAAAAGTAGATTCTCTCTTAAATACCAGCCTCTGAGTACAAAACCATTAAACTCAAAAGTCAAGAAATCATGAAGTAGTTTGACTATCTTCAAATGTCCACTTCAGTCTTTCAAGAAACAAAAGAAATAACCAACTAATCTTCCCACGGAAATATCTGGAATCAACATAAAACAGAAAGGACAACTGACAGCTTTTATCAAGTAAACATGGGGTGAAAATGATCACTGAACTGCACCCTTCCTATATATTTTGGCACTTGTTACAATACGTTTGACCGCTGATTTATAGATATTACTGGAATAAAATGTCTGTTAATAAAAATAACTTATACATCTATGAGGGAATAACCGCTTTGTGCATGTGGCTGCTCCAAATTGGCTCCAGGTATCTAAACACAGTTTGCTAATCCATAACATTCTGCACCAATCCTTTACAGGTGGATCAGCAATGGCAGCAAATGCGAACCCCATGACACACAGACCATCTGGATCAGAGCAGAGGGACGAGCAGATGCAGTCATCTCGAGCCTACGGGGTCAAATCCAGGGTTGTTATCGTCCCCTCAAGGGTTCCCTGTGGGGTGAGCGAAGACGCTTCTCCGGAAAGACGTACGTTTATTCAGAGAGCAGCCATAACACCGACTAACACAGCAAGCCCCCGTACTGTCCTGTCTGGCAGAGCTCCTCGGAGGTTTTCATACTCCTGAAAAACGACTCGGCAGCCTGCGACTGCGAGGTCGAGTTCAAGGCAGAGAGGAAGATAGAGAGAGTGAAGCCTGTCTGCTGGAGTGAGCGCATCCTGTGTGTCAGTACACCAGGTAGACAACAACACGTGATTAATGCATGACTGGAATAAAAACTTTTCAGTTGTTCTGTTTTTTTGTTGCCTGGTTGTTACTCCTGCATGTTTTCTGCAGCTGATTTTCCTGCTGGAAATGTGAGTGTGACTGTCTACAGTGGTGGGAAAACCTTTACCAGCTCTAAACTGCAGTACTACACAAGAATTGAAGAACTCACCCATCTTCTGTCAAGTGTGGCAGACCCTGTAGAGTTCATGTGTCAGGTAAAACCTTCACCTGCCTTTTATTTAAAGAAGAACTTATCTTAGACTATAGCTGTGGACCAGTATGAGGATTCTGGAAGCACAATCTTCCTTTAAATGCATTTTTTTAATTATAATGATGCCACATATTGCTTTTTGATAGACAACAGTTAATTATCAGTGCTTGGATTCATGAGAAGTAGTGAGGCTTTTGTCCAGGCTAGCTGTGGAAATACTGAGAGCAGATCTTTATTTGCTATATAAATAAAGTTTACTTACTAAAATCTGCAACAGGCTACCTGGGTGTTTTTTGGGCAATCAAGTCCTTATACAGCTCTGGAGAAAATGAAGAGCCCTCTGCACTGAAGCCCGTTGAAAACCTCCTGGTTATTCCACCAAATATTTATTTCTGAACTCTTTCTGAGTTAAAACATTACTCTTGTTGATTCTAAATGAATGTGAATTTATTTTCTTTGCATTATTTGAGATCTGAAAGCGCTGCATCTTTTTTGTTATTTTGACCGTTTCTCATTTTCTGCCAATAAAAACTAAATTTTTGCCTGGGATTTCAGAGACATGTTGTCAGTAGTTCATAGAATAAAAACACAATGTTCATTTTACTCAAACATATACATATAAAGAGTAATATCAGAGAAACTGATAAGTTTAAGTGGTCTCTTAATTTTTTCCAGAGCTGTATGTATCAAAACTTAAACGAATATATGTTTTGTTGTTTTGTTTCCTCAAAAGATAATTGCTGAAGTTGTCTATTAATACATTTCTGGTCTGTATAGTATGATCTAATACTGCAAGCTAAAAATTAAGAGCTGGAAATGAAACTTGCGTACCTGTACCATCAAACCAATACTAAAGTTTTTTTTTTATTATTTTTTTTATTTGAAACTTATCACAAACTCACAAGTCACATAAAAATATTCATATATCCAAATAAGTTGCGTCAATGCAACTTTTGTATCCTAAACAACTTTTACAGGACACACACGCACGCACACACGAGGTAATTTTGTAGGGAAAGCTATTTCACAACAGCTGATTTATAGTCGGCGGAAATGTGCAAATAAAAAATAAATAAAAGTAATAAAAGAAAACAGAATTGAATGAAAACATGTCTGATGTTTAGACAAAGTGCTGTTTTCTCTTGGATTGAGGGGAGAGCAGGTTACATCTGTCTTTCAGTGTTGAACACTTGATTTGATTAGGACAGTTTTGCTGAAGCAGCAAACTTAAGCAATGAAAGAGGAAGAATTTACAAACTAAAAGTGAGGCAGGACTTTAATGCTGGCATGGTGAAATTAAAGTTGGCATTTTTATTTGCTCTCTAAATGGATTTCCAATACCACTACCACTGTTTTATGAGTCGGTGCATCTAACCCAAGATTTATTCTGGGAGTTACATCTGCCCTTAATAGAAAAGTTGCTGTTTGAGTCATAACTCAACACAGCATTGTAAACTTTGTTTGCGTTGCAGGCTCTTCAGGCTTGCTCTGTGGAAAAGTTGGATCAGAAGTTGTCTTCCATGCTGCTGGAGCTGATGCCCACAGGAGGCTTTCAGGGACTGCAAGTAGAAAACACGCAAGAAAGAGGTACAGCGAATGCTGCTTAGTCAGCAGAGAGTGAGGAAAGCCTGGACGTGTAGGACTGACATCAAATTTTATTCAGACTTTGAACATCAAAAGAATCTCTAAAACACACTGTGTGACCAAAAATGGATTTAGCTAGAAGACAGAGCCATACCTACTAATTATTTTGTTACAGCTGGTAAGAAGCTACCAAAGCAGAAAGCAGTTTTTATGTCTTTAGACAACCATCACAATTAGGTTACGTGACAATGTCAAGATTTATCTGGGTCAAACCGAGAAAGAGTGAATCAGGAAACATGGAACATCAGGAAACAATGTGATGGAACATTGTTCCATGGAAACATTGTTCCTGATGGAACATTGTTTCCTGATGGAACATTGTTTCCATGGAAACAATGTTCCTGATGGAACATTGTTGCCACATAGAAAGTAGCTTTCTATGTGGCACTCTAGACTCCAAATTACATCGATAAGTCCCTCCAGTTTTTCACAGATCCGCAAAATTCACACAAAATCAACAAAATCCCCACATTTGTTTCTGATTTTACTGCAATTTTTCACAATATTGGCCAAAAACATTGGGTTTAAGTGACTGCTGCCTCGGCCTTGCTTGACGTAAAATTGTAGTTTTGTGATAAAAAAAAAAAAAGAAGTCACGTTTAACATCATACATTAGCACAACTGTTGTACAAATTCCTTACAAATATTTCTAAATTAGCACCACAAATTCTATGGTTTTCATTGCAAACAAAAAAAAACAAACAAAAGCAATCTCAAAATCCTGGATGGACTGATCAGTGTGAAAAGATGTTTAATATTTCATTTTAACAAACACTCATTGAATGCTGAAACAAACAGCTGTTTATTGATATTTTAACAGTTAAATTACTTTATCAATAGATTCTGGCACAACTGGCCCTTTAATAATATTCAGGTTTTTGAAATACTGCTGTAGATTAAAGATAAAATTACTACATAAAATCCTGGGAAGTTATGGAAAAACAGTGTATTCTGATCCAAGGGATTTGCAATTCAGTCAGATACTTAAAAAAAATTTACAGAGGTGTGTGTGTGTTTGTGCATGAAAAAAAAAGACTATTTGCAAGATGTGAAACTAAAACCCTGGAAGCAACTGAGATGTGCAAATACCAGCAGAAATGTTATTTCAAACAAGTAAAACTATGCAAATAAAAGTGCAAATGGAAGAAAAAAATTTAAACACTGAGTTTGTTGGACGCAGTGATGCTTATGAACTCAAACTACTCCAAGGAAGCACCTTCTTTTAATGCAACTTTGTGCACTTAGGATGTCATCGAAGGAGCTCTCCAGCTCACCTGCAGATTCATGCATCAGGTGGAAAACATTTGGCTGCAGTTCTGTCTCCCACTCCTGCACTGGGCCGAGTTAGCAATACAGGCTAAAAGATTACACTGGGTTACAAAAAGAACATTTCTGGAAGTTATGTTTTTTTTTGTTTTTTTTATTAGGACTATTTTGCATCACTGAATCAAAAAATGACATAAATTTTTCTCAATCATGGCAAGTTTTTATTATAATTTGATTGAGAGAAATCCAGCCTTCTGACTAAATTGATTACGTTTTAGTGACATCATCAGTTCATTTCTGTTAATTTTTCTCATCTCATCCAAAATCAGTTTTAGGGGGGAAAAAAGTTTTCTAACAGAGTGTTTTATTTAAATGTTACAAAGTGGGATTTCTGTAAATTGAATAATAAACACCGATAATGGTAAGGATATGTAAATTGAACATTTTGTCTTCATTGTGCAAAATTCTCCTGCTCATCACTGATCTCAGAATCTGAGGAAACCGATCCACATGTAAGAACAAGTGATGCATTTTGATGCTCAGGTTGCGTCCATAGTTCAGAAAATTGACCTGATTGAGCAAAACCAATGTGATTTTTGGATTCAGCACATCAACATTATCCTAAAACAGTTGAAAAACCCCAGACAATGTTTTGGCTGTTGTCCGGTGTTATGAGAAAGTCTGTCTCCTGGGAAGAAAACCTTAAAAGAAGTTTGATAATGACTCAAGTCTTTAGCATTGAGAGTCCACTTTGAGATCTATTTGAGAACATTTGGCATCGTCTGGATTGTTTGGCATCTTCTAATTTTTATGTTTTGGAGTATAAATCCTCCAAAACAGAGGATTTATACTTTAATGTGAAAAAATAAGGTGTTATTTAGGAAATTATAGAACTAAACAACAAAACATCACAAACCAATTTAAACTGACAAAATAAACATGCAACACACAGTGGGAACACATTCTTCTAGCATGATCAACATTATCCAGCATAATGGAGGAGAAAAAAAGACTTTCCACTATTTCTCAGCTCATTATGTGGTAGACTGATGGCTTCATCAGCTTGTGGGATTGATCTTTTACTCCATTAGAAAGGGCAGAGGGAGATGTTGCCATGACAAACAGGTCAATAAATTGCCTCCAAGCCGTCTTTCTTTGACTCTCCTGGATTTGTCAGATTGACCACATTGCTTTACATCACCGTCATGTTCCCTCCAAACAGACATTACAGCTAAAAAAGACAAGCTAAAAGTAGAATAGGATGAGGAGCAGATGCTCATTTTGTGGCTTTCCTTCGCTGATTTGAACGGGCTTTCACATCTGTTTAAACGCTCACAGCAGAGGTCCACCATGGAGACGTGCCCTCACTCCTCCACTTCGCCGCTCGGTATGGATTCAGGAGCGTCTCGGGTCTGCTCCTGCAGTGTCCGGGCGCTGAACGAGCTCTGCGCACGGCTAATCGACATGGACAGACTCCTGCAGAGATCGCCAAAAGCCACGGCCATAAAGAGCTTCACGTCATTCTGAAGGAGAAGCTGGTAACTCCTTCCAAACTTGGTTCCTGTCTCCTGTTGTTGAATCTGGAATTGACTTGTTGTGACAGTGTGGTACGAGACAGATGATCTGTGAAAAGATCCATCTCCTCCACCTTTTCCCTGAGGTGTTGTCGTCTGAAGAAATTCACTGCTCCCGCTCAAAAACCACCAATCAGAGCCAGAAGGAGGGTCTTAGTGCCGTCAATCATCCTCATGTACGCAGAGAAACAACTTAACCATTACAGGAAAACTGTTAAGCCATTGTCAGTGGAATTTATAACCAGCTCTGCGAGCTCTAGCGTAGCAGAGAACAAGAAAGGAGCGGGCAGCGCCATATTCAGGGTGATTGACAGCTCTAAGACCCTCCTCCCGGCTCTGATTGGTTGTTTCTAATTAACACTGGGGGAAAGCAAAGGATTGTCTGCCTCATACCATGCTGTCATCATAACAGTACAAGTTTCAACAAATGTGTAAAAGATATTTCTTATTAAAGTTACATAACTCAGCTTTAACTGGTAGATTTTATGATAGAAGCGGAACCAAGCAACAGAAACTTTTCTAAACTTTCACAGCTAAAGATCAATATATCAATAACGAGGACAACAGAGTACCAGGTGCTGCCTTGCTCTCCATTGATTGTCTTCACACCTTGAGGTGAGGACGGTACTTCCAACGGGCGCTAGCTGTCCAATCCTTTAAATGCAGCTGCCAAAATCCTTTTTCAGCCTGCAACTACAACAGCGTGCCACATTAACTCGTTAAACATCAAAAACTCTGTTCTTACCGCACACTTTATTCATCCTTACCAGCAACAATTTTTGACTTTCTCTCATGTCTCAAGTCAACATATGGAGAATTTGTCCTCAAGGGAAATTTAGACACCCTAACAGCTGTTGAGATGTACTTATCGTCTCAGCAGCACAGCTAATTGAGAGTGACTGCAGACTGAGCGTGATTTGATCAGACTGCTGCTGCAGAGAGCTTGCTGTAAGCCTAGAACGAGCTGCCAGGGGAGTACTGGAGTCAAACACAGGTCTCTCCGCGGGGACCCGAACAAGCCTATAGCTGTAGCACAACAGACTCAACATGCACAAGTGTGCATCTTCTATTAGGGTGATTAAAATTCATCTCAGCGGCCCAAATTGTGCACCAAGTCCACGCTTGTATGAATCCTGGAAAAAAAATTCTCAGGGTCCTGGCCGCTAGCTGAGCTTTCTGCACTTTTATTAACCAATCTGCTACGTCTCCCCCAACCTCCAATTAATCAGCCCTTGATGCGTCAGTGATTTGTGCGCTAGCGGGGCATTGCTCTGTCAATAAATCCAAGATGGATCAGTCCCCTGCCTCGTTCACAGGCTGAATCACTCACGGGCCCAGCGTCACATCCACTAGCTGACTATGGCTTCACACTTCTTAGTTAATTAGCTGTGAACTGCTCCGGCGGGGGGGCGGCAGGGGGGAGTTGAATTATTTATTCAGGGAGAACAGAACTCAAATATAAACACAGAGAATGCAGTACTGCTACTCATAATGTGTTGTGTCCTTGTATTGCGAGATCATGCTTGGCGAATTACAGGCATAAATGCCTGTTATGTCGTAAATTTATGAATGCCGTTTAATCAGGGTTGGAGACTTTTACTGTGCGCTTTCAATAAATACAAATTAGTTTCCAACTGTATGTTTCTCAGAGAGAACAAGCAGCCGTTTATGTGCAGTACGCAGCCTTTGTGCAATGAATAATCCTATCCAAATCCGGGGAAGCCGAATGAGGTGCCGTAGTGCCGCTCCTTCTTCTGGGATTTGTCGAGTCCACTGACTTTGCTTTGCATAATGCGTTTTGCAGTGTCATTTGCAGCACTGTTCAGCCAGGCGAACTCCAAAGATTTGTTTATTATTTGAATGACGGTGCCATTACGCTCACCCTGTTTGAGGAAACTGTTTCCTTCCCTCAGATTACACCGTAACAGGCTGGATGATTCATTTATCTTTGGAGCATTAAAGAAAGAGGAATTAGGTTGATTAAATCAGCTTCTGACTTGAAAGCTTGTGCCATGCATGCCATTGAATCTAATCTGTATCCATTTGATCGTCATGGCAACTCAGTTAACGCCGGTTTGCTTATGTACTTGGTGGCAAAGTTTTACAATTTGAGTCCAATGTGAAATCTAACACTAAGGGGGTTTACTCAGAATAAAATCAAAAATGAAATAGAAATACTATTGATGTCAGAGGTCTTCAGATTTACCCTAAATTCCTCATTCAATATGGCTGCCATATATTAAAATGAGCAAATAATCAATGTATTTTCCACTGATCAGCACCAAATTAAGCCTCCTTTTTTGCACTACATTATCTTATTTTTTTTTTACGTTAGCTTGCATTGCTAGCAGCAACTTGTATTGATCCTAGCACTTTGAACTGCCTTGTTGCAGAAAAAGTGCTATATAAATAAAACTTCTTCTTGCAGTATAATTATCCTAATTGTCATTAGAGTGAAAATGAGTTTGTGTCATATTTTAAACAAATTAAAAAAACTTTCTGCTGACATATTACAACTTCTTAAACAAGGAGCTCCATCTTCTCATTTGGTTTCCTTTGGACATGACATTACTTATTTAAACAAGAATATATTTTGGTTTCATTGAGATATAAATCTTGTCATGACTAGTATTGCATCTTGTAATAATGATGGTGAAAATAAGAAAGTTTCTCATCATAGCAAGTTTTTTTTATTATCTTGTCATAACAGGAAAGTGTCTCGTTTTAACGAGATCGTTCTCCTGGATTTATGTCCCAGCTCTGGCAGCTAAACACGTAAATATGGGACTGAATTGCCAAAAGTGATCTGTATTGTTAGCAGTTGTTTCTCTGGAAATAATGAAATCCTTATGGTTTTCCAACTTTTTTTTTAAAGCAAGTTCATCTAAAGTCTGATGTCAATGGGTCTAACTTACTGAAATGATCAGTTTCTGTATGTATACTCTTTATAGGTATATGTTTGAGTAAAGTGAACATTGTGATTTTATTTTATGAACTGCTGACAACATGTCTGAAATTTCAAGCAAAAATTTAGTATTTATTTGCAGAAAATAAGAAATGGTCAAACTAACGAAAAAGACGCAGTGCTTTTAGATCTCAAATAAAGCAAAGAAAACAAGTTTATATTCATTTAGAAACAACAATCCTAATGTTTTAATTCAGGAAGAGTTCAGGAATCAATATTTGATGGAATCACTACGAGCTTTTCAATGTGGTTCAGTGCAGTGGGCTCTTCATTTTTCCAGAGCTACACTACTGTACATTAAAAAAAAAGCACACAAACAATAGCAGGTCACCACGAATAGTCTAAACCAGCTCGCTTTCAAACAGACCAGGTTTTCCATCTTTCCTTCATTGCTCCAAAATGTTAGATTTCCTGTCCGTTGCAACAGAAATCCATGCCTCAGCTCTGTCTGCTCGCATTGCAGCAGTCAAACTAGATTTGAATGGAATGCCCAAGGCTCCATAGATCTCAGACATCTGTAAAATGATTTAGCATTTGTGATTAGTAAATAAATACGTCTCTTGTTCTTTTGAAAATGCCACGCTGTTCTGAGGCGGGCCATTAAAATTCTGCGTCGGAGCAGTTGGTAAATAAGCCGCTCTATCCCTCCTCCTTCCCCCCTCCTGCTCCTTCAACCTGTTGGGTCTGCAAAGAATCTCAACTGTCAATTAATGCATTCATGGTAGCCAATAGCTCATTTGCAGTTCTAGGAACAGCTCGGTGTCGTAATTGAGTCATGATTGGCTGTGTTGCTTGGAAACTGCAGACAGATCTCAGCGTGCTGGATGGTGATATTTTGATCCAAGTGAGCTATGTCTCATACATTTTGCAGATCTCTACAGCCATTTGTTATTGAAGAGGGAATGTATAAATTAGCGAAGGACCTTGACTGCTAAAATAGGCTATTTTTTTCTTTCTTTTTGCTGAACTTGGAAAAAAAGATTGTAAAGGAAGTGATCAGGGTGTGTTTCGCTGTCAGTGATGCAACTCTTCACAGCTTCATGTCCACAGAAGCCAGAAAGAAAAAGCAGCAAATTATTACCCATAATAATCTGGTTCTAATTCTGGATGCAGTCTGAATCAGCCCACAGTCCTCAAGTTGTTTCCTAAATGATATGTTTGAACTAAAAGGGGAAGATTGTCTGATTTCATAATTACCCTGATCATAGCCTTGTCTGTCTCTCAGCATGCAATTAGCAAATAGGCTGACTCTGGAGCAGCTCTGTTGTCAAAGTGAGACAGAAAAAAAAACAACAAAAAAACATGCTTTCTGTGAGCCAGGGGGCAGCGTTACAGTACACCTCCTGAACATCATGTTACAGCCCTGAAATTACAAGTCCTGCAAGGAAGTGAGAACCCTTAATTATTAATGTCACAACGGTTATGACAACACTGAATATTTCATCACCGTGCGGATGCACAGCCGACTTTATGGACAGTCCTCTCTACTTTTATGGCTTCGTGAGATGCTGCGGTAAATGGACGTTTCTTCTAAAAATTATGAGCCCACTGAAAATAGCCTTACGGCAAAGACATGAGATGAACAGCAGCTTTGTGTGAATTCAAATGAACACAAAGCCCCACTTGAACCGTTTCTTTTGCGACTTACAAGAGGCATAAAGTTTATTTCCTGATATTTTTTTTTGTTGTTGCAGAAGATGCTTGGCTCGGGCGACGACAACAGTGTGTATGAAATGATGTGCAACGCAAGTAAGTGAGGACTGCAAGTGGTCTGCACTAGGTTTTAACATTTAAAAAAAAAACTAATCTCAAGAGTATGAAACCACACAAGACATGTGACAGTTATTTATTAAAAATGAAAGAAACCAAAATGGAAAAGCTGACTTTGAAAAACTAAGCACACCCATGATTTAGCAGCTGATACTGCCAGGAGTCATAACTCCTGGTGATCACAGGGGTTCGGTACCACAAACGCCCACAAACAGCCAGGATCTGTGAATATTTGAGATTCCCTCTAAAGTCGCTCATATCTGCCTATTTTAATAGTTCAAACAACAAATATACTTTGATATGCAATAATTGGCACAGTGGAAATCATCTTAGCATCTTAGATGCCAACATCTACAGTCTCCTTTATCTCTGCTTTTAGTGAAGAATAGAAGAATAGTACTTTATTGATCTCTAAGGGGAAATTGCTTTTCAGTAAACAGATAATCATTGGAAAAGAAAATAAACGCTATTCCTAGTTTGACTGCCATCAGTGTATCAAGTAGCGTTGCAGCTAGGTGTTTTGATGTCCCAAACTGTATTTTCTTTAAAAGAAATCTATATGCTCTACAAAAATAGTCTAGAATAATTTGGAGTTGTGTTACACAGTAAAATCTGTGAATAGGTGAACCTACGAATCCTGAACCTTTAATAGAGTCAACTTTAACTGTTTTGTTTAGGACTCTTGGTGTCCCAGATTAGGTTGATCCTCAGCTTATACAGATGGCCTTAGTCTGACTTAAGAATACTGAAGATGAATCAACAGTTGACTCATTTACTGTGAAGCACCCAGTCTTGATTTACGAGTGCAAATCAGGACCAAACCATTTCCACCACCCCTCCATGTTGTACAGGAGGAGTAAAGCGTTTCAGACTTTTTTATTATTATTATTTCTCCAAACATCTCTACTTCTGTCTTAGCTGTCAAAAAGTTCATTCAGATCAATTGTTACTGCTGTATTAGTTTCATCTGGACAGAGGCCGTCCGTCCCCTCGTTGCTTTCCAAAACCAGCCAGACTTGTTCAGTGGTTTTCATGCCAACATGCAAACAGAGGCTTAAATAATCCGACGTAGATTTGCAGATTGACCTGTTTGGTGATTGTCCACTCCTAGAAAGACTGTCCTCTGCCTTGTAAATAATAATTTCTGATTTGAGACATCATTTCCAATCTATCTAAGGTTGCGTTCACACTGCAGCCTGAAGTGACCCAATTCCGTTTTTTTGTCAAATCAGATTTTTTTGCTGTGGCCGTTCACACTTCCAATTATATGCGACCTGTATGTGTTCTCTAGTGTGAACTGCAAACGACCTGAAAGTGTCTCGCATGTGCAGTAGAGGGCGCAATAACATCAGAGTTCTCAGTGTTTTGTCAACCGCCATAAAAAGAAGTAGTGCTCAGTGTTTGCGGAAGTAAACATGGAGGCTAATGGTGGAGCGTAGCTTGCACATTTGAAGTTGTTGTCTGACTTCAGTCAGTATGTTAATAACTTAATCCTCATTATTGTCCACCATGGTTGTTGTTTTTCTTCCTGCTTGCATGTATAGGGACGCAGAATAGTGACGTTTGTTGAGTATCAGTGATGTTCAGTTCAGATGAATGCGACCTGGACATTAGGTCGCATTTGAATCGGATACGTATCGGATATCCAAGCAGCCTGGGTCGCATTCGAAAGTAATCCAACCTGTGTTGTTCAGACTGTCATGAAAAGATCAGATACAGGTCGTATTATGTCAAAGAAAATCGGAATTGGGTCACTTCAGGCTGCAGTGTAAATACAGCCTAAGATTGATGGGCATCAATGGTTCATCTCTAAGGTCATTTATGACGTCTTTCCTCATTGGCCATGCACAGAGATTTCACACCAATTGCTCAGGTGTGAATTAACAGTAGCACAAGCAAAATACATGCAGCAAAAACACTGTGTGCATTAGACTCTCTTCATCATGGTCGTAGGCAAACAGAGACAATGTGAGGGGGAGGACGAGGATCTCTACACGCCACTCGGGGTGACCGACGAATCGAATTCCAACTTCAAATCTGAAAAGACCTTAGACCTTACCAACCGTCCGCCAGCACCCACACCGAGGCCTGAGTGCATGCAGCTGAAAGAGGGCAAGACCCCATACATTGCACAAGGTAACACCTTTTGTTGCCTGATTTATCTGCTTATAGATGCATTAAGAGATTCTTTTGTGAAGGAGTGTTTGATGCAGGAGGGGAGGAAGTGCCTAAAATGTGCACCGCCATTGTCATTGGAGTGCTGCTGAACACGGTGAAGAGCCTTTTGTACGACGCGGTTTGTTTTGATTCCATAAACCACATGAGCATGGTCGCTCCCTGTTGCAAAACAAACAGGAGCGAGGCTACACAAAGACACGTTTGCCTGCGTCAAGAGCCCGCATGTTCCCCAACTGTTCAATTTCAGCTGCGTGAATATTTTATGAAGTCGAAAGATTGAGAAGTGACTGGTATTATTAAGGTTTATAAATCATTAAATCAGCTCCTACTTGTTTTGCAGATCCAAACACATGCTCAAAAATCAATTTTTATTCCCACAACACAACATTACACCTGTTCTTCACCTTCACCCGCATGCAGAACCCATAAGTAAGGATCGTAACTGCTCAGTGGACAAACTCTCTCGTTCATACGGCTTATTTTCTTTGTATTGAGCTTGCATGCATTTGCTGAGCCACTTCTGTTCCCAATGGAGCTTACAAAGCAAAACAAGAAATTGAGTGTTTGGAAGGATTCTCTGTCTCCAAACCATCCTCTCGGTAATACAGAGTGAAAGAGAGAAAGAGAGAGAGACTGGGGCTACCACCATCTGCAACCAATCTTGAACGGGCCAAGGCCAAGTCAGCCAGAATAAGTCATTGCACATGTTTTCCACCGTCCTCGCCTGTCCCCAGAGCGTACAAGAGAAAAGGAGAGGTTTCCATCTATTGAGACAGGGCAGCTTTAAACCACAAGAGGATTCAGTCGAGAGATGGGAAACGAGAGACGAGGCCTGGGCCCGGATTAGGCAAGGAGCCAGTTACTAGATGCACGAATGAAGTAGACTTTCCTTCTGTTGATATTTGAAGTCTAACATGGAAAATTAGACATCTAAGTTAACCCCCTTTTTTTTTTTTTATAAAAAAGGCCACTTTTTTCATGCCTTTGCCTGTAAAAGAAGCCCTTCTTTGTAGGCTGCAATGATGTCAGATCATCTTCCAGGGTGTGGATGTGGAACCACAATCCAACATCGGTCACACAGCTGCAGATTCATTGTTTTTGACAGCTGAACAGTGTATTCTTTCATTCTGTTAACCAAAAGTATAATTTAATTGGTGCATAATTCAACCCAGGAGTGTAATAGTCTGTATATATGCCTGCTTATACAGACCAGATGCAAATATGTTAGCAGACTTAAGTTGATGTATTGTTTTTTCTGTCCTTAGACTTTGTTTTTAAATGTAGCTTCTGGCTCCATCTTGTGGATGAAAAGCCTAATTACAGTAGAAACAGGATCTGTGGTGTTTTGTTTGTTTTAAACCAGGTTCTTGTTCTTTTTCTACAGTTTTTAAAAAGAAGAAAATACCCAGGGGAGACACTGATGTGTATTCACTTACATCTAAGCAGGGTGAGTGATGGGTTGCCCAGCAGGGCTCTGAAATTAACATGGAAAGAAATTGAGTGTTTTTTGTGTTTTTATTTGAAAAAAAAAAAAAAAAAAAAAAAAAAAAAAAAAAAATAATATAATATTTAAATTTAA